CCCCAAAACCCCAAAACCCCAAAACCCCTTTTAATTAAAGTGCGGTTGATTTCAACAAGATAAATTTAAATTTAAAATGGCTGATCAGCATAATATCAGACAGGATATAGGTACAGGTTCAGAAGAACAGACTAAAGGCAGCCCTACTTCAGAAATCTCTACAACTTATTATGTAAGAAATTAAGTATTTTTGTCTATCTTGGCACAAATTTCCTAACACAAGGAGTTGGATATGGTCATTATGTACAATCATGCTGCAACTTCTAATGAGATACCATAACTGCTAACAAAATGGCTTATTCATAATTTTGAACGAATTTCTCACTCTCGTCATTGGTTCAAAAGCTAATAATCAATTAAAAAATTAGTGGTATTGCTCGAATCAATAAAATTACTTCATTATTTAGTTGGCTAAACTTTATTAGCTTATGATAGGCGAAGAAAGTTAATAGTTCTTCATAGATTGATGTTTTAACCACAATGCCAGATTCAGAAGAGAAGGAACTTTTCAGGAACATCAAAATAATGACTGATCCTCAGGGGAATATTCTCGTATCGTCAGTGTGCCAAGAACTTAAAGATCAAGGTATTGATGTCACTGGAATGGGAGTCTCTTACTATTCCCTCGCTGATAAATTTTATGTCTTTGTTGGAAAGGATCCGATTACACCTGAGAAAGATGGAATATCTGTACAAAATTTGTGGGGAAAGCGGCTCACTCTAAAATTCAGAAGGATGAAATGAACTACAATTGCGCATACTTCTACTCAGACGATTATTGACTGCCAAAATTCAACTATTGACAATAACGAAAGTATTTTTATTCTTAAATTTTCACAGACAAGTCACCTCAGATTAGTGAAAGTATAAATAACACAGCTCTCAAACAAGATTCAGAGGAAGCTTCTTCTCATCACCCAGTGGCTGAGGAACCTCTGATTTCTATTAAAACCCAAGCTATAAAACAAGAGGCTTCTGAGACAGAAATGGCTTTAGATGATCCTGCTTCAGAAGAATCCAAATCCTCACTTCAATATTCCAGAGAAAGAGAGCGTACCATCAGATTTGTCATTGAGAAAACTTCTACTTGGAAAAGCCTGTGCAATGGAGTTGAAAGAAAGAATGGAACAATCAAGAAATATAGGTATGCTTTCACTCTAACATCTGTAGCTTATAGTAGAAGCATCCAAAAAGGTAGGCCTTAGCCGTAAAACCCTTGTCGGCTACCTCCTGCTCCTCCGCCAAGGCAAAACTCACAACTTCGACTTCGTAAAACACATCGATGCTAGAATAGGTATCCTCAGGTCCTTCGTCAACATCAATATCCAGTCTTAACCCATTCCTACTCCAAAAGTTACAGTCACATTTCAGTTCAATCTCTTCGTGGCCAGAGGGGTTTTGGGGTTTTGGGGTTTTGGGGTTTTGGGG